GACTCGGAATGAAATTCAATCTGTATGCTGGGTTATGAGAGAGCAAGGGTGTGTGTGAGAGAGAGAGAGAGAGAGAAAGAGAGATATATAGTCTAGTTTCAAGCCTCGAGAGCGAGATGTTTTTGACCTACGAAACTGGGATAAATCGGCCAACCGGGTCATTCTTTGCCGAGTCTGGGGTAGCTAGGCCGAACGCAGATTCATGAGGAGCACACAAGACGGTAGACGGCACCATTATGTGCTTAGGTCCGTATGTGTGTGTGTGTGCCCAGTGGTTAATTGCTTGCGCGGAATGCACTTGACGACCGTGCATTGGTTGGTAACCTATCAGATAAGTGTTGAAGGAGAATGGGAGACAAATCGATTTCTCCCAATTCAGGCACCACTACAAACAGTCGTAAACATGGCTCCCGCGTGGGTGGATACGGCCGAGGAATGTCTTAGTGAGTGCCTATGTGTGTGTGTTTGTGTGTTGGTACTAATATCGCTGGGCTAGTAACGGATGCCCAGGCAACTGGCCTGGCGCCTGGATCAAGACAACCCCTTCGTGTACAACCTGACAGGTCACATGTGCTTCGCTCTCGTCGTTTATCACACACTCGACCCGGGCTCGCATCCCACTGGGCCGGAACAACCGACTCGGCTCCCGCCGATAACACACCTCCGGTAGAGGTCTGGAATTCACATATTTCTTTAGATTGTGCATTTATGGTCGACGGCCTCGTCAAACATGCAGTCGCCTGGCAACTGGAATACCACAGAGCCAAGATCACGCTCAGACACGAGTCCGCTCTTTTGGCCATTCAGTCTGGCTGGTCGTCATTGCTTCGTCGTTGGGCGTAAACGCTTAAATCAGAACTTTGTCGCTAAAAGTCATTTATGGCGTTTTTAGGCAATTACTGATATTTTTGTAATCTACTCACATGAAAAATAGGTAGCATTAAGTGAGATGTATGAATTCTAGTTAGTTTCTGGCAATAAGAAGACTGACTGGTAGTTGAATTTTGCCACAATCATACGAGGAGACATCAAGTTGCCGTCGAATTTCACACGCACAGCCTTGCTTTCTCACACGGTATTCTAGTCCAGATTGGACGC